GAGAACATTTTTGCACCCAACACTAATGATAAAGGACTGATCACAAAAATCTGCAAAGAGCTGATGAGACTCAACAACAACAAAGAAAATAATCCAGTCAAAAAATGGGCAGAAGAGCTAAAAAGAAACTTCTCTGAAGAGGAAATGCAAATGGCCAACAGACATATGAAAAAATGTTCAACATCACTTGTAATCAGGGAAATGCAAATCAAAACTACCATGAGATACCATCTTACACCAGTGAGAATGGCACATATTAAAAAAACTAGCAACAACAAATGTTGGCGAGGTTGTGGAGAAAAAGGAACTCTCCTGCACTTTTGGTGGGAATGCACACGGTCCAACCACTATGGAGAGCTGTGTGGAGATTTCTGGACCTACTAAACATAGAGCTTCCATATGATCCAGCAATTCCACTCCTAGGTATTTACCCAAAGGACACAGAAACATCAACTCCAAAGAACACCTGTACCCCTATGTTTATAGCAGCACTATTTACAATAGCTAAGCTTTGGAAACAGCCCAAATGCCCAAAATAGATGACTGGATCAAGAAGATGTGGTACATATATACCATGGAATATTACTCAGCATTCAAAAAAGATAAACACATGCAATTTGCAGCAACATGGATGGCGCTGGAAGGGATCATGCTCAGCGAAATAAGCCAAAAAGAAAAAGAAAAATACCAGATGGTCTCACTCATAGCAGGAATCTAGAAAACTTAAATAAGGGATCAGGAAAATGAATAACTATAAGAAAGTGAAAATCAAAATCAACAAAAAACTATGAACCAGAGACACTTTTTGGGGGTGGGGGCCGGGAGGGCAGGATTGGGGTCAGAATGGGGCATGTGCAGTTGTATGGGGAATATAAAAATAAAATTTATTATGTAATAAAAAAATAAAATGTACAACATTGATTTGACACACATAATTAATAAAATAACCACTATAGTATCAACTATACATATATCATGTCACATAATTCCTATATCTTTTTTCACATTTATTTTTACTATTCTCACCTTCAAGTATGTAGTAAGGTATTATTAACCATAATAACCATACAAGATTCATTGGATACCCAAACATGGTTAATTATCATCAGAAGTCTGTTCTTCTTGAGTTAGACCTTTATGAATCCATTTCATAACTGAATTTTCAAGAGTGCCAACATTGAGTTGTATTTTGATAAAATCTAATCTATTTACATTGCAAATTATTATTAATATGAAAAGACCTCTAATGCTATCTTGAGAGCTGTTTTCTAACTTTTTTCTTTCTTTCTCTTTCCTTTCTTCCTTGAAACAAAGGACACTGTACTAAAGAAAATATTTACATGGGCCTCCCCTGGTAGCCCAGTGGTTGAGCGCTGGGCTGCAAAGCTGCCCGCAGCCTCTGCAGCGCCAGTTTGATCCCCAGCTGCCAGTGAGGGTCCCACATGGTGCCATGTCCACTGCTCCCCTCAGCAGTGTATTTCGTCACTCTGACTGTTCTGTTTCCCACTCTGGCTCTGGTGAATTCTCTTACCCTTCCGTGCTTCTGACTGTACCCAGTGCTTGTATAAATAAATAAATAAATCTGAAAAAGAAAAAAAAAATATTTACACATACATATCTGTCAAGGACCAAATGTCCATGATCTCCAAAGACATACAACTAAACAAGAAGAAAGCAACCCATCAATAAAACAGAACTAAATGATACCACTCAAAGCAGATATATAGATGAACAAAAAGCACATAAGAATTAATGAACATCACTTATCATCAGGGAAATGCAATTCAAAATTATGAGCTACCACCTCTTTCTGTGAGAATGGCCCATATTCAAAATATATATATACAACAAATACTGGGAAGAAAGTGCAGAAATATGAACCCTCATGCACTGTTGCTGAGTATATTTACTTGTTCAGTCACTATAGAAAAAAATGCAGTTTCCTCAAATATGACGTATAGCTCTATCATAGGATCCAGCAATTCCGCTTCTTAAGTAACACAGTGATTTAATACAGAGATTCCAAAATCTCTAATTTGAAGGAATATATGGAACCTATGTTAACTGAAGTTTCATTTACAGTAACCAAGGTATGGAAATAACAGAGCAGTGTTTTAAGATATTTACATACACAGTGATATACTACTCAGCTGTGAAAAAGATAAACTGTTGCAGTTTGATGAAAGTAAATGGAAGTAGAGGGAATTATACCAAGTGCAATAACTCAGAAAGAGAAAGATAAGAAACACATGATTTCCCTAATGGTTGGATAATAGAGAACAAAAAAATAAAACTAAACCAAAACACAGGAAATGTGACAATAGAATTGTGACATCTAGAGGGGGACAGAAGGTGGGAAATAGAAAATGAGAGGTCTAAGGTAAACTACTTTGGGTGGGTGCTTTGATAGTGAGTGTAGGGTGATGATAAACATCTGATGAGGTATGAACACATGCTCTCCATAAATCATACACAATTTTGCAAATCATTGTTACCTTGGTAAGGGGAAAAATAATTAAAAATAGAAAATCAAGTTATTTTGTTTCTCACTATGTCTATAGAAATAAAAAATATTTAAATCATATAGATATAGATTCCACTCTGTTTATTGCAGTATTTTTAAAATAGCCAAAAGCTACAAATAACCTAAGTGTCCAGGGGAAGGTAATCACCTACAAAAGGTGTGGCTTATATATACAATGTGTCCCATGTGTCCCATGGCTGAAATCCTGCCATTTGCCACAGCATGGGTGGCCCTGAGGTAATTATGCTCAGTGAAGTAGCTCACACAGAAAGGACTAATACAATAAGATCTCACTCAGGTGTGGTATATAGAGGAGCCAAAAAAGCAGATGAGATAAATAATACAAAAACACAATTTTGGACTAACTAAGGTTACTAGAATGGAAGGTGGCAGAGAATCAGTTATTCTGATAAAAATGTATCAGTTGTATGGAGAAGGAGCAATTGAGCTTTAGTAATGAATTTAATGCAATATTGACACAAACTGATTTTTAATCATGCATACCTAAAACTCACATAATGTTGAAATGCAATGTCATTTCCATAAACACATAATGGAGTCATGTATTTTAAAAATATACAAAGCCATTAACAAAACTATATCACAGAGAAGAAAATTTTTAAATACTTAGATAAATGAAAAAGTATCCTGGTCATGGATTGAAAGATGTGCTTTGTAATTTTTCTAAGTATAGATTGAATGAAATGCCTATCAAAATCTCAGCATTTGTGTTTGGGAATTGGAAAGCTGATACCAAAGGTTGTATTAATACACAAAGAACATAGAGAAGCCTTGAGTATCTGGAAGAATAGAGTTGGAAAACAGAGTCCCTAATATAATAAGGTACTGTAAAACTACAGTTTTTCAGAGTTTGATATTATACGCATGAAAACACAATCAGTTGAACAAAATATGGATTCTGTTGGATATCACTTTGAATAAAATGAACCACAGAATCTACCTTATACAAATTTAATCTTAAAATGAATCAGTGAAAACAAAGGATGAAAGGGTAAAGCTTTTGCTGTAATGATTATATATTTATCATTTTTGAGTTTCAATCAATATTGTACTTGTGGGTTTATTTTACATATATTAATCAATATTTGTTCCACAAAACTAAAGATTCATATCCAGAGAAGTTTTTGGGAAAAAACAAAAAAAATACTTTTTACCTTTTTTTTTTTCCTCTTGTTTATGCCTTCAAAGCATGGACAATCATCAAATAATGTTTGGGAACTTTTATAAGTCAATGTTAGATTCTCCTTTTCTATCCTTTATGATTCAATCATCTTGTAATGTTTCATCACTACTTAATTTGCTTACTTGGTGAAATATCTTATTTTTACATTTGCAAACTTATCTTTCAGTTCACTAATTCTGTCTTTCCATGTGTGATGTGCTAATTAATGCATGCACTGATTTTTAAATTCTGATCATTACACGTTACACTCATGTATGTACTTTTTCTATGCTTTTCAATTATATTTACTTCTGTTAGCATAGATTCTATTAATAATATTTATAGTTCTTCTTTCTATCCTTTTAATGTTTAATAACATGTATTTCTGAGGCACTCACAGATTATTTTATTTAAACTTTCCTCCCACGTATGTGACGGATGAGCCATTGCAACTTTTAGAGGCAAAGAAATGGCACTATGAGCTGTTTGCAGAGTGACCTCAGCATATTGCTTAATGAGGCCCATAAGCTTCATAGAGCCTTAGATGAGCCAATGGGTGATGAGAGTCTGGTTGTTCTATTGTATTTGGGGAGTAATGTTTACAGAGCTATTGTGTGAATATGGCTGTTACTCAGATAGCCCATACAGACTAAAACAAAACTCTAATATGACAACTTTCCTTTTGCTCATTTCCTTGTTAACTTTATTTTTGCTTGACTGTGCTGTGTTTGGTTAACCAACTTACACTAGTGGGTACCATGCCCCCTCATCCCACATACAAGCACAACTAAAGAATTAAGATGCAGCTGGGGTTGGTACTGAAGAAACTGCACCCAGGAAAATGTTTCCTGTGCGAAAGCATTTTAGATACTGTTGCTTCTGAAAAATCAGTGATTTCAAAAAAAAAATAAGACCTTCATGTTTTATTGCAGGGCTAAAGTTCAAGCTCCCATCGATGAAACTTTAAATGGGGAATATCTTAACAACATTCCCTGTTCTCCTCAATGCATGGAAGACATCACATAAATACATAAGATGGGCCACTTGAAATGTTTCCTTGTAAATTATTTAAAATCCTCTTGAGACTTCAAAGTTGTGGCAGATTTTCCAGGATTATCTGGAGGATGTTCTCAGACATGAGTCCTCAAACTTGATTCTTTCAAGTTTCCTTTTCATTTGTCTGGACTTACCGAAGCCAAAAGTTTTCCCAATAAATATTCAAAATAATTTCCCAATAAATGTTCAACTTAAATATTCAATAATAAATATTCAACTGGAATTTACAAATGGGCCTCAAAAAAACAGGTCAGTTTTTCTTCTTTGGAAAACCTTTCTTACAGCTGCCTTTATGGCTTGATTTCTCAGACTATAGATCATTGGGTTGAATGTTGGGGGCACAACTGTGTACATAATAGTGAGCAAAATGTCCAGTGCACTAGGAGAGTCAGAAGGTGGTTTGAGAAACTCAAAGACTCCAGTTGACACGAATAAAATGACAACAGTGAGGTGGGGAAGGCAAGTAGAAAAGGCCTTAGCTCTGCTCTCAGCAGATGGAATCTTCAGCACAGTAGAGAATATCTTTGTGTAGGACAGTCCAATAAAGGAGACACAAAGAAAGGCCAGAACAGCCAAGAAGGCACTGACCCCAACCTCGCTGATGTACTCATTAGAACATGAGAGTTTCAGGAGCTGGGGGATGTCACAGAAGAACTGGTGAATGACATGGGAGCCACAGAAGTGCATTGAGAAAGTGGCAGTTGTGTGCATGACACCAGAAATGACCCCACTGATCCAGACGCCTAAGACACTGTGGACACATTTGCTGACATCCATGATGAGTTCGTAGCGCAGTGGAAAGCAAATGGCCATGTAGCGATCATAAGACATCACTGTGAGCATGGACAGGTCAGCAATGCCACATAGAGTGAAAGCAAAACACTGCACTATGCATTCACCGAGGGAAATGTAGCCACTACGCAAGAAAGAGTTATAAATGTACCTTGGTAAAGTCACAGAAATGTAGCACAGGTCCAGGAAGGAGAGATGTTTCAGGAAGAAATACATGGGTGACTGGAGACTAAGGTCCACAGAAGTTGCAGTGATAATGAGGATATTGCCAGTTAGTGCCACCATGTATAAGACTAAGAACAGAGAAGCAAGTATGATTTCCTGCTCAGGCTTGACTGAAAATCCCATCAGAAGAAACCCACTCATAGTGAAATTAGCCATAGTCCTTAATTTCCCAGTGATGGTGACTGCAAGACAAGTTGGGATCCATGAAAGAAAATGGAAAGTTGCTTAATCTACTAACTTAACTGGACTCAATTAAGTTGGTCAAGAAACACTTCATAACATAGGAAAAATCATTATGTATACTAAAAATCATGTCAAGAAATTTTAATATGCTTTGATTCTTTTTTTTAATAGAGGCATGTTTATTTATTTATTTGTTTGTTTCTTTGTTTTGTTTATACATGCACTGGTACAGTCAGAAGCGTGGGAGGGTGAGAGAATTCACCAGAGCCAGAGCGGGGAGCAGAGCAGGCAGAAGGACCGAAGTACACTGCTGAGGGGAGCAGCGGGCAGCAGGAGAGGTCTGCGCGCCTGCTTTGATTCTTTTATGGAAACATGGGTAAACAAGAATCTAAATTATAGATTTGCCCATTTCAATCAAAAACAAGGAAAAATGAATATACGTAATAAAATTAATAAGATCTTTAAAATACATAATTTTATTATTAGACATATGGAATATTCAATGTTCATTTATATTAATTTTTTTCAGTCCATACACTCACATTAATAATGTTGTTATCGGGCCTCCCCTGTGGCACAGCTGTTGAGCGCTGGGTTGTGAAGCTGCCCACAGCCTCTGCAGCGCCAGTTCGATCCCTGGCCACCAGGGAGGATCCCACATGGCGCACAGACCTCTCCTGCCACCCGCTGCTCCCCTCAGCAGTATACTTCATCAGTCTGTCTGCTCTGCTCTGCTCGCCCCTCTGGTTCTGATGAATTCTCTCACCCTCCCGTGCTTCTGACTATATCCAGTGCTTTTATAAATAAATAAATAAATTTTAAATAATAATAATAATAATAATAATTTTGTTATCTACCTGTACTTTTTTTAAAGGTTTTATTTATTTGTACAAGAGCTGGGGTACAGGCCAGAGGCACGGGAGGGTGAGAAAATTCACCAGAGACAGAGCGGAGAGCAGAACAGGCAGACGACTGAAAACAATGCCTAGGGGAGAAGAAGGTGAGGCAGGAGAGTTCTGATGTGCCATATAGGTATCTCTCTGGCCAGCCGGGAATAGAATCTGCACTGCAGAGGCTGCAGATAGCTCCACAGAGCTGAGCTTAACCTGCTGCACCACCAGGGAGGCCCTACTTGTACTTTTTAATGAATCATTCTACCTAATCATATTGCATCTATCTACAATAGATTTATAATTGCAATTCATTTTTTTTATTTTTATATAAAAAAATCTTCATTTTTTCCATTTATTTTCTCATTAATTGGAATTAAGAAACTCAAAATTGATAGAATCTATGCAATAATTATCTCAATAACCAGTATCATTCATACAAAAGATCATAAAAATTCATTTGAAAAATGCTAGTTTCCCAAAGGAAAGGAAAAGAAAAGACTTTCTAGTGTATTTTATGAAAAAATAGCATTTTTAATATACAGATGAAAAAATAATTTGCTTGAAGTCTTAATTAAATAACATATTGAATAAATATTAATTATATTTTGTACCCATGTTAATAGCAAAAGTGAAATACACAGCACTATTATGAATAAAGACAACTAGTAGTATCATACATCTGTAGATGCAAATACAGAAGCAAAATTATATAGAGTATTATAGATCAATGTTATATCAACAAAATTAATACTATTAATTATATCAAGGGATGTTTATTTCATATAAATACACAAAAAACTTTAAACAAGCAAGTATTATGGTGAAAAATGTGCATGCCGTGTGGAAAAGAGCTAATTATTTAGTAAAAGCTTTGAAACAGTCTTTATTTTAAACCAATAAATTAATATCTGGGTGATATTTTACCTAGTCATGTAAATAATTGGTATTAAGAAAATGTCCATTTATAATCAGTGCTGCAGCAAAAATATTGAGAATTTTCAAACTGTAACTGAATAATTTTTTCAAGATAATATTTGATAGAAAAGATTTGGAGATGATGAGTGAGTCCTTTACAACATCAAGTAAAACTTACTTAAAAATTGGTTCAGTAGTGGGCCTCCCCGGTGGCGCAGCTGTTGCACGCTGGGTTGGGAAACTGCCCGCAGCCTCTGCGATGCCGGTTCGATCCCCGGCTGTTCCCTGGCCACCAGAGGAGGGTCCCACATGGTGCGCAGACCTCTCCTGCCGCCCGCTGCTCCCTCAGCAGTGTACTTCGGTCCTTCTGCCTGCTCTGCTCTGGCTCTGGTGAATTCTCTCACCCTCCCGCGCTTCTGACTGTGGCCAGTGCTTATATAAATAATAAATAAATAAATCTTAAAAAAAAATTGGTTCAGTATATGTGTGTGGAGAGAGAGGTGTTGGGTATGGATGTCTGTGCATTTATGTCTTTGTGTGTATTAGAAAGGAATATTGTAATACTATTAAATTAAACCAAATAATGTTACATTTAAAAATATTGAAGAGACTTTAAAGACAATGCCTGACAATTCTAGACATATAGTGACATCTTTACTCATCCATTCATCCTCTCTTGTAACTGAAACTTACCAGGTGAGGTTTCTGGAGGCTCTAAGAACTTCTATTTTTGTGTATCTGGAGAAGGTCGCTTATTATTCCTTATGGAATCCAACAAAAATGGTATATGCCTTATGCATGAAAATATTGCATGATATACCCAGAAGAGTTTTGTTTGGTCTTTTGTTTAATATAAATCAACTATTGTTAATAATTTATACAGCAGCTATATAGAGGAATTATGTACAATTTTTGTTTTCATATTTGAAACTTAATCTTTTCTGTCCAGAAAAGAACTATACAATTATTTTTAATATCACATATATATATGAAGATATATATTTGCATATGATTTATATACTAACCCAATTGTCAGTGTGTTTGTGTGTGTGTGTGTGTGTGTGTGTGTGTGTAAAAAGAAATGTCACATTATGGAATACAAATATCTAACTATTAGTTAATATACTGTAACCATAGCTATCTTTGATACCAAGAGGAAAGCAGTGGAAAACAAGAGACTTGAAGTAACTCTTTTGTTGGTTTTTAGGTATCGTTATCAAGATAATTTTGCCTTTCTTCATAAGCTGTGACCTTAGTAAGAAGATAAAGATGGTCCCTTTTGTTCCATTAAAGAAAGTCCTCCATTCAAAGAAGATTCAGAATTTTACTTCCTTCATTCTACTATTTGCTTGTCTCCAGATTATCTGTTTTTTTTTTTTAAAGGGGTCATTCATAATATAACAATATATAACAGTGAATATTTCTTTTTTAAACAATTTTTAAAATTCAGGTAGATGAAGTGATTTCAATATATAATAAAAGTTTTGTTCAATGTATTAAGTGTGATACATCTAAGGATTTTTACCAGCTATTCCCCTTGAAAGTCTTTTTCCTTATATTTCTAAAAATTTGGCCATTAACATGTCCTTTGCAGATTTTTTTCTAAATTATCTCTAATTCAGAACTTTCCCTGAGGATTAGAAGAAATCAGAAGGCTACATTAATGTTGTAAACGATGTTTGGGTGCAGTGGGTTGAGCATAGTGCGTTGAGCATGCACTGTGAAGCTGTCCGCAGCCTCTGGACCATGTTCGATTCCCGGCCTGCCAGGGAGATAACCACATAGTGCGGCAGACCTCTCCTGTCTTGCCCGCTGCTCCCCTCAGTAGTGTTTTCAGTCTGTCTGCCTGTTCTGCTTCCTGCCCTGTCTCTGATAAAACCTCTCACCTTCCCACATCTCTGGCCTGTACCCCAGCTATTGTATAAATAAATAAATCTTAAAAAATAATAAAAGAAGGAAGTTTGGTCACTTATAATCTTTCAATCTATTGTTTCTGTTTGATCCTTACTTTGTGAAGATGGAATATATTAGTCACTTTATTCCCATTAATATATTTAATTTATTCCCATAGTTTTATGTTTGTATGATAAATGAGCAATTTATCTGTGATTTCTGATGTGGAAGCAGCCCTTATCATTTACAATTGGCAGATATGAGTCAATAAAAAATATGAATACAAGAAGTATCAGAGCGTCATCCATCATACATTCACACTGCATTACTTCTAAGATGGTTTACACAATGAAAGGCATTGCTGGGGAGGTGGGAACTGCACTCCGCAAAATGTTTCTGGAGAGGAAGGAGTTTGCAATGTTCTCTCCCAAATCCATAATTTCCATGTAAACAATCCATGTAAATATTAGTTCACACATAATATTTCATATTTTACAAGTTAAATATCAGAGGCTCATCTCTCACCCATTCAAAAATCAGTCATTTATGGGTTTTTCATTATTCTGATTAATCTATCATTTTAGAACCTTAGGAAACTCACCAGAGCATATTCAAATGCATCCCCTCAAATGAAGAAGAAGCTGTTGATGTGGTCAACTTACATTTAGTTCAAAATTCAGATCTCTGAGTTCAGGCACATTCAGAAAATTATGAATTTGATAGAGAAATAAGTTCATTTCAACCCTTCTTTGGCCTCTGGGGGTTAGACTCTGAAGTCACTTTGGCACAAGCAAGTTATCTGGGTGCTATGGGTATTTGGTGTTCCTGGGCAATACCCTGGGACCAAAATTTATAATTACATTGATTGTTCCTGCAGAGTATTTCTCTGTTGAGTTGATTTAATGATTATACCTAGTTACCTGGAAATTCACCTTATTACAAAAATGTATACAACATGGATTAAAACCTTGAAGGTATGACCTAAAACTTGTGGAAAGCATAGACTATAAGCTCATTGACATGTACCTTAGTGAAAACTCGAAACAATAAAATACTTGGGAGAAAACAGAGGCAATAATCTTATTGAGATCAGCCTAAGATATGACTCTGGGGATTGGACTCCAATAAGAGGGAAACAATCAAAAAATAAACAAAGGGGACTACATTGAACTAAAGAGCTTCTGAACAGTGATGGAAACCATCACTAGAAGAAAAAGATGACCACTAGTGGTAAAAGATATTTACAAACTATCTAAGATCAGAGATTAATAT